CTGCCTCCAGAGCTTTGCCCATGCTTAGCTTTCCACAGGTCAAAACTGTACTCATTCAAGACCCTTTTCCATGAAACCTTCTGCCAATTCTCCCAGCTTAAAATCAACTTTTCTTTCTCTGTGTTCCTATAACAAAATCACATCTTTCTATAGCACTTATCACAGACTGCCCGTTAGCAGTTATTCATAAGCAAGCAATCCATAAAAGGGAAATTATCATTTATTGGGTGTCTACCATGTACTAGCATATGTTATTTCACCATTTAGAGCAATCTATTCTGTAGCTACTACTAAATAGTAGTAACTATTACTGGGAACTGGGACTACGTACACTTACCATGTCTTACCTTTCCTATTAAAGCAACAACAGGGTTGACCGGTTAGTTCTGTTGATTAGAGCATAGTGTTGTAACACCAAAGTCAAGGGTTTGGATCCACATACCAGTCAGCCACCAAAAACAACAAACAAAAAGAAGCCTAATACAAGAACATTCTGAAGGCAAGAACTGTATTAAGTTCATTTCTATAAGTTTAAAACTTTTCATATTTATATTTAAACCTCTTTTCAGATGTATACTTTGCCTTCTGTGAATCTCCTAGCTATAAAAATGTACATTTGAATCTTTTTTCCAATGTACATACGTATTCGCTTTGTTTAATATTACTCTCCCCTTTTCAAAATATATACATGAGTCATTCTTCAAAAGTATACTATAAGTGTGTATATTATACAAAGAATTCCCTCCTATGGATACAAAAAACTTTACTGGGATGGGGTTGGGATGAAAATCCTGGGCTTGTACCATTAAAAAAAATATCTAAAACCAAAGTATTAAAAGCAGTGGTGAAGGAGTCCAGAACTCTTTTAGGTGGTAGATGCTGGTGGTTGAGTAATAAGTACTCAAATCTCATCACTTCCTAAAACTTTCACATTTTTAGTACAATATTTTACTATTATGCTATTAATGTTGTTAATATCTGTTGTCTCTGTATGATAGAAATACTATATAATGGTGTGCTACCACTACTATTCCATGTATTATATGATTCCCATTATATCCAGAACAAAGTAGATTAGACAGAAATCTAATCTTTAGACAGAAAGTGGATTTGTGGTTGCCTAGGGCTGAGGAGTACTGTGGTAAAATGTGGGGTGGCTGCTGATGGGTACAGGGTTATTTTGGAGGTGATAAAAATGTTCTAAAATTGACTTTGATGATGGTTGTACGACTCTGGGAATATACTAAAAGCCACTGAATTGTAAATGCTAAATGGGTGAAGTGTATGGTATGAGAACAGTATCTTAATAATTCCTCCATTATTGGAAAAAAAAAGAAACTGAGGAGGAGCAGCCCCCATCTTCTAACTAGTGGATGCTCCTCTCCTCTCTCTTCGTCCTGAGTGCCACTTTTAACAAGCGGCAAAGGTCCTATTTTAAAACATCCCAAGTCTGTTGGGTTTTTTTTCATTGTACATGTTTATGGGGTACAGTTTTTTGTTTCAAAATCAAGTCTGTTATCTTGTTTCACCAACTTTCAACTCCACTGTCCTGTGTGGGCTTAAGTTACTCACCTGTGGTAACCCTCAATTCTTACCTATCATTCACTTCTTCCTCTATAAAAGGAGGACAAGGAGGGTTCTTGGGAAGAATAAACAAGCTACAAAATGCCTCTAGGACAATAGCAGGCTTTTTTAAAATAGTGAGTGCTCATTCATTGCTTGTAGAATTTACTGAAAAACTGAATAGATCAGGTCTGTGAAGAGTAATAAAGAAAGGAATGGTAGACCCCAGAAAATGCAACATTGGACAAGTGGCAAATTCTGCCAAGTCATGCCCCCTTTCATGTCCCCCTTCAGAAAGGACGAGTAAGGCATTATCAGATTTATTTTTCTACTTAGCCATCTCCGCTCTGTAGTTATTTCCTACTAAGGCTTTCATGCTGACCCTAAATCCAAATTCTTCCTTTTATGGAAGGGCAGATATCTTAAACATGCCTCCAGTGAACAGATGTCTTCACTGAATTGGGAATTTTTTTTTTTTTTTTTTTTGCTTTTGTCTCATTCTCTTTACCTAATTTCTTGGGAATAATGAAGAAAGATGAATTTCCTGCCTTCCCTTATCACAAATTGTCTGAGCCCAAAAACTAGATTAAAACTGCCCAACTCAACACCACCTCTGGAAGTCCTGGAGCTCGGGATGCTGTTTTCATCCAATGCCTTTTAGCATACAGAAACAGCAACTCCATGCAAAAAAGGAGAGGGTAGAGCTACATGTCCTATATTGAAAATTGTTCAAAATGTTCTGTTATAAGGAAAAAGATAGATGAAATTTAGCATATACAGTATAATACAATCTGTAAAATATAATAATTATTACTAATCACTAATTGGTAGGTCTATGTGTGGGTATGCACGCATATATTGTATAAATGGAAACATCTGAAAGAATATATAGTACCTCAAACAATTAACACTAGGCCTCACTGGAAGGGAGGAATTAGAGGGTCCTTCACTGTCTACCTTCCAAATTTCTGTACTGTTTGAAATTGTTACTTTTATAATCAGAACAAAAATAGCTAGAAGGAAAAAAAGAGAAAGTTGGGAGAACTACAGTGAAACTGCAAAACTCCAGCTCTCCCATCCCCCAACCTCCTACACATAACACCACCATTCTGCTCAAGCACAGCAGGGACTTTTCTCCACAAAGAAAAAGGCACAACTCTCCAATAACCTCCTCTGTCCTCTGGAGAATGAAAGAGCCATGACTGGTGAGAGGGAAGAGTGCCCAGAACTCACCAGAGTTTCCAGATATGACCGAGTCACTTTCTCCTTTCTTTTCTTGAACTTTCTTTGGTTTCTTTTTAACAGGCCCATCATTCTCCTGTGGTCTCTTTTTACCTCTGTCAATTTCTGTAGCCTATATCAGGAGGGTTAGAAAATGATGTGTTATGTCTATTCTAAGAAGGCTTGATGAATGTGAAGTAATTTAAACCTTACTTTCTGCATAGAATCATCTATTTTTTAGCTCTGGAAAGGCCTATGGGTGAACTGTTTTTATCATCATCAAAGACAAAGTGGACCAGCAGGTCATGAGCCTCAGCACCTCAAGCCCTGCTAGAATTAATTGAAACCAAGGCTGCTCCCTTTCTTTATCCAATCAGCCTTCACCTATCTCAAATTATGACTTGAATCACCCTACTTACATATGTTAAAAATACCTCTAAGCAATAAACTGGTATCTATTTAGCAAAGGCAAAATTAGGAGGGAAAAATAGATAATAAAAGAACGGTATCCTTGGGCCGGCCCGGTGGCTCACTCGGGAGAGTGCGGTGCTGATAACACCAAGGCCCGGGGTTCGGATCTCATATAGGGATGGCCGGTTCGCTCACTGGCTGGGCGTGGTGCTGACAACACCAAGTCAAGGGTTAAGATCCCCTTACCGGTCATCTTTAAAAAAAAAAAAAATGGCCGGTTTGCTCACTGGGTGAGCGTGGTGCTGACAACACCAAGTCAAGGGTTAAGATCCCCTTACCGGTCATCTTTAAAAAAAAAAAAAAAAGAACGGTATCCTTTTTGAAATGTAAATTGTAATTTAACTGTTTCCTGTTTAGGTGGTTTATGTTTACCACGAGATGGCATAAGATTAAGAGCTACTTGTTGGGCCGGCCAGGTGGCGCACTGCTACAGTGCGCTGCTTGGGGGCGCGGAGGCGCTCCCGCCGAGGGTTGGGATCCCACATACAGACCGGTTCCCGCTCACTGGCTGAGCGAGGTGCGGGCGCGACACTGAGGGTTGCGATCCGTTGCCGGACACGGAAAAAAAAAAAAAAAAAAAAAAAGAGCTACTTGTTGACAGAAAACTACCAAAAGCTTAAGTCCTTTACCAAATACCCTCTAAATGATGGGTGTGTCCTTAACCAAAAGCTTAAGTCCTTTACCAAATACCCTCTAAAATCTTGGTGAATGCATGAAAATGTAGATCATCCTCAAAAAACAGACAGAAGTGCAATCACTTTAAGAAAAATGAAGGGAACAAGATTTTCAGGCAGCCCAGCTGTCACCTACACCTACATTAAAACATAGTCGCTGACTAAAAGCCAGTCTGCCATCCCCTTCCACATCCTCAGTTTGAGAAATACTGTACAGGGAGCCCCAGTGAAGGGTCACCCTTGGACTTTCCCCTATGGCAGTATCCCTGATTTAAAAAAAAAAAAAACCCTCCTCTTCAGCCATCAATCCACGGAAAAAAGATAGGGGAGACGACGGAGGTTAAATGATGTACCCCCTTTACCGACAATCCTCCTCCCCTCATCAGAATGAGTCAGGAGACCTGAGTTCCCGTCTCAGGTCTGCCATTAAAAACCTGTGCGACCTTGGCCTCAAGTCTATTACTTCAAAGGGAATTTCAACCCCGCCTAGGACGCAGGCCCAGCTGGGATACTCCCACCGTCTCCTCCCCGCCCCTTTCTCAAGCGGCCTCATCATCTCGCCGATTCCCGCGCAGGTTCCCCGCCTCCTCCCCTCCACCCGCAAGCCCAGCCCCGCCCCATCTTGTCCCGCCCCC